TCTAGAGATCTTAATATGCAACAATGAGGAAAAGGTTATAAAAACATTTTATAATATCATGGACAATGTCTCCCCGCTGACATGAATTCGATTGTTTCTTGTCGTAAAAGTCATCAAGTAATGTAATTTATCAAACACACCCCAATTTTTTTGCTAATTTTAGTTTGTGAAGGCGTCAATTTTAGGAACCTGAAATTTTGAGATGAATGAAGATTTTTAAGTCACACAAGCTCCATAACATGCAATTTGTTTTTGTTTCTTTCTTTCTGGTCTCAACTGGTTTTAACCGGACAGCTTTGCAGTGCATGCATAACAGTTACTGCATTTTGGCGATATGACAGGAAATAAGTGATATGTCAGGTAATGAGATTCCATGAAGAAAAAGAACGTTTGCTGTTTGGCAGTAGTCATATTATACACCTATTTACTAGATATAAGGACAATTACAAGTTTAATGTCTCCTAAGACAACAACTACTTCCCGAGGTGCAGGCGCATTTGCTGTCGAGGGGGACAATAAACTTGCTATTGTCCGAATAGCCAGTAAATTTGTGTTTGATTAAACCGAAGCAGACTTTACTTGTGTTACGTCTCGATCCAGATTAAACTGAGAGTCTCGAGATGAAGAAATGCTGCCAGTGAAAAGTTCACAATGGGCAAAAACTATTCGACTGTACTGGCTAGAAAAAAAATATAGCATGTGTATTCTAACTGATCAATGCATACATCTGTAGGGCTCACGGCGGGTGTGAAAGGTCAAGAGGGATGGCTTCTCGTCCTAGGCACCTGATCCCATCTATGGAATTTCCAGGGGTCCGTGTTTTTGGCCCTGTTCACAGATTTGTTTTGTTCATAGATTTTTTTTAGATTGATCACTTTTCGTTATCCTCACCTTTCTTATCTTTATGAAAAAAATATCACAGAGGTATAACATATATATAATTTATAGAGAGAGAGAGAGACTCAAACTAATTATCTCATACCGTAGGAATAATGAAATTCGTCTGTTTAATTGACAAATGCAAATTATTATATTTTGGAAGAATATAATTTAATTGCTATTAATACACGATAGTTTATTGGAATCGGTTTGCTTTCAAAATGCATACGAGCAAACAGAGATTTTTTTATAAAGAAAGCCTGAATAGAAATAAAGTAACCAATCATTTCTATAGTTACATTGTTTTTTTTCCTTTACTGATACTCCGTATTATGTCAACCACAAACAAGTATCAGGTTCTCATCCTAAATTTGATTAATTCATTTATTTCGTAGCCACAGTCGTGTAACAATGCTTCTAGCTGAATGTAGATTCAGGAATGCACAAAATTCTCTGTGAGCAATAACAATAGATGCATTGTTATGCACCTCAAAGCTTATGCTGCATGTTCCTACGCATTGGTATATATATACGTGTGACATTAAACTATTTTTTCCTATTTAAAAATACAATTGCTAAGTATTATTTTTTTCAGATGTGTTCGTACTTTACAAATCACGAATCTGACATTTAGCAGAACGCACGGTTTAATATCCAGTATAGAATATGCAGTGCAACAAAGGGCAATGGTTGAATTTTTTTTTTCAAAGTGAAATATCGGTCAATATCTACAGGATTCTAAGCGCAAGGAAAAACACAAAATTCATATATATATATATATATATATATATATATATATATATATATATATATATATATATATATATATATATATATATATATCCAATGAAAAAATCAAGAATCACAAGACTCGAATAATCATTTTAACTGTAAGCGCTTTCTGCCTTTTAATGGCTCTTCAGACAGTTACAAAATGAATATGAAATTGCTTAGTAACGTTCATAAGCACGACGTCAATTATTGTCCTTTGTGACGTCATAATAACGTTAAAAGGTAGCATCTTAATTCGCACAGTTACAATCACTTGTAATTCAAAAACAAATAGAAAATTAACTCTGAAGCAATTATTTTCTGTTAAGTTTTGGATTAAATAATTTAATAAAGTAGTCCTCCTTTGCTACTCTGGATATTTCACAGTCATTGTGCATTTTATAAAATGGAAATATTTTAAAATTGCCTTTCCCACAGATAGCAAAGTGCTCACTGCACGGCGCATTTCTTATGTCAGGGTCCCGAATTTGTTGTTTATGGACTCGCACACGTGCGTTCAGTTTACTGGTTTGTCCTATGTAGTATTCATCACAGGTTGGACAGGTTATGCAATAAATAACATTTTCTGACTTACAGGTCATGTTGGCGTTTGGTGTTAATTTTTTACAACATTTTAGAGTTTTTTCACTGCCCTCCTCCAGATATTCACATGTTCCACAACGTGGGTCACGGCACTTTTTGACGACTTTGGCATTGTCCGATGCAAATCTTGCTCTGGTTAGGATTTTCTTTAGATTGGGTGCCTGTCTCCTGCTATTAATTATTTGTGATTCCTTGATAACGTCTTTTAAATTTTGAGACTGTTCTAAAATGGGAAAAAATCTCCTGGCTGTTTTCAAAATATTGTGGTTGCGTGGATTGTGCGTTACAACAAAAGGGATGTGGCTTTTTTCACTATCATCCTTGTGGCGATTGTTCCTTAGTATAGACGAAGGGATGCTTTTTGCCTTTTCAATTCCGGCATTTATAAGATTCCAAAAAATGGAACAAAACTGAAGATGATTTACAAAAATTCCACACGGTAATTAACCATTTACAGGAATCAATTCAGTTCACTATGGAGATGAGTGACAGTCAACTACCATTTTTGGACCTCCTTCTAATTAAGGATGATACCAAAATAATTACAGACCTGTACTGCAAAGAAACAGATTCGCACCAGTATTTGGATTTTCATTCATGTCACCCATCGCATACTAAACGTAATATTCCATACAACATGGCAAGACGCATATGCACAATAGTAACCGATACATCTTTACGGTCAAAAAGGTTAGAAGAATTTAAATCATATCTCAAAAAACAACATTATCCGGAGAATCTTATAAATGCCGGAATTGAAAAGGCAAAAAGCATCCCTTCGTCTATACTAAGGAACAATCGCCACAAGGATGATAGTGAAAAAAGCCACATCCCTTTTGTTGTAACGCACAATCCACGCAACCACAATATTTTGAAAACAGCCAGGAGATTTTTTCCCATTTTAGAACAGTCTCAAAATTTAAAAGACGTTATCAAGGAATCACAAATAATTAATAGCAGGAGACAGGCACCCAATCTAAAGAAAATCCTAACCAGAGCAAGATTTGCATCGGACAATGCCAAAGTCGTCAAAAAGTGCCGTGACCCACGTTGTGGAACATGTGAATATCTGGAGGAGGGCAGTGAAAAAACTCTAAAATGTTGTAAAAAATTAACACCAAACGCCAACATGACCTGTAAGTCAGAAAATGTTATTTATTGCATAACCTGTCCAACCTGTGATGAATACTACATAGGACAAACCAGTAAACTGAACGCACGTGTGCGAGTCCATAAACAACAAATTCGGGACCCTGACATAAGAAATACGCCGTGCAGTGAGCACTTTGCTATCTGTGGGAAAGGCAATTTTAAAATATTTCCATTTTATAAAATGCACAATGACTGTGAAATATCCAGAGTAGCAAAGGAGGACTACTTTATTAAATTATTTAATCCAAAACTTAACAGAAAATAATTGCTTCAGAGTTAATTTTCTATTTAATTTTCTATTTGTTTTTGAATTACAAGTGATTGTAACTGTGCGAATTATGATGCTACCTTTTAACGTTATTATGACGTCACAAAGGACAATAATTGACGTCGTGCTTATGAACGTTACTAAGCAATTTCATATTCATTTTGTAACTGTCTGAAGAGCCATTAAAAGGCAGAAAGCGCTTACAGTTAAAATGATTATTCGAGTCTTGTGATTCTTGATTTTTTCATTGGATATATCAATACTTTACTGTACCAAAAATTGGATTTTTCATTTTATATATACACTGTATATATATATATATATATATATATATATATATATATATATATATATATATATATATATATATATATATATATATATATATATATATATATATATATATATATATAAAGTGTACAATGCGAACATTCGCAAAAAGTGTTCCTAGAAATCGTGAACTTTGCAATCCGTCAAAATTTCTTCTGAAATTCATACGTGAACGCAAAACACTACATGATATCTATTAAATAAATGTGAATTTCATGGTATGTACCTCATTTTGAAATATTATACATTGTAGTTATCTTTAGTCAATGCAACATGTACCTTGCACAGGATGAGACCTGAACCATCACACTTTGTCAATACAGACATGGTGCAGTTTAGAAAGACCTGCTTTCCCCGTTATGCATTCATGTGCCATTGCGGTGAACATTCTTAAAGTGTACGTCGGTGCATAACATTGTATTGATTTCAATTTCACTTGTTTTTCTTTTTTTAATTTCAGAGCCTTGCTTCTCTACTTATTTTTTATTGCCGTAAATCAGTTTAGAACATAAAAAAATTCGGACGTATAATAAAGAAATGATAAATACATATCCATCGAAATTTATGTCAGAAATTTCAAAATAGTACAACACTCAGTGATAACGTATAGGATGGGAACGCAGATAACGCTAGAAATAAAATCCAAAGCATGCCACAAAAATCTACTTCGTTCTGTAGCCCTCTGGTTTGTCTGTCCGAATTTTCTCAACCAGAGAGCTACATTTCTGCAGCTATATTCAATGATACTCCCTATTTCTACATAGAAATTGGTGGAAATGTACTTTTTAATGACCCTCTGCTCCCCTCACATCATTGTATCTGTAAAACTAGATCAAGTACAATCTTATCAAGGCTACAGATGTACTTTATGACATCAAAACAAAGAAGACCTACATGTATACTGCAATTCTTTCGTGATATTTCACATTTATTCAATCGTTTGACTTTCCCCAACCAATAAGAAATTAATATCCATCTTTAAAAACAAAACACGAAAATGCATCAAGTCGTTAACGAATCATATTCCTTCCAGACGGGTAATGATATTTGCCAAGGACATCATAAAGTGATGACATCGACAGACAGAGTAAGGATCAGGTCACACAACCTAGATACTTGTGAGATACATAGACATGTTTGTCCTTACTGACGCACAGAAAGAGCGTATTAGCCAACCAAAGATTTTTGAATTACATGTTTTTAAACTCTTCATACTATATTTTTGGCGGTTTGTATTTTTTTTTTAGTCCATCTTTCTTGACTCCTGTTGCCCGCATTAACTCTATTTAAGGGGCATTATTGGACCCCTGTATTCATATATTTTCAAATTATTTTATCCTCACTGTCAATAAAATGGGTGTCTAAAAATGCAAATTTATGCAATTCTTCTTTTTTATATTTCAAAAACATTAATGTAAGATTTTGTTTACTTATTGAATTCCAGTTAACGGCAATGATCTGCTCTTTTAGACATCCGATATATTTGTCACGATACGCGAGGGGTTATCAAAAAGTTCGTAGATTGATCCGATAAAGTAACAAGTAATACTATGAAGGCTCTAATTACAAAATTTATAACGACATAAATCAACAAAAGCTTAAGAAAATTTTAGTTTGATACGGTGATAATTTTTCAATTTATCATTAAATACAAAGACAGTGTATGATCTTCTGGCACTGTCGCTGTGTGTTTTATGACGTCATTGCTTCTCTATCTCCCTCAATACACTTTTCTTGACGAAATACTTTGGTGTTAAATATTGACTGAAACCCATCTTGTTAATATGACTTTAAAATTTCACGAACAACTGATTTGAAAACACATTTATACAAACTACAAAGGGCCTCACTTGACTTTGCTAGCTTACTAGTATTTCACTAGTCGTCGTTCAATTTCTAGACCTCGTGAGTGACGTTACTTGTCGATGTGACTGACGGTGGACTCCCAGACTGCTAATCGGCATTTAATTTGTTTTTCCTCTCTCTGAACCTGTTGTGCCATTTAACAATAGGGAATCTGGACCTTTGGTGTCCCTCTTCAACCTTCAAATATTTGCAAAATCTATGCGAGTTTTTCCAAAGCGAAACAATAAATTACGACAAAAAGACAAACACACACACAACCTTATTCTTTTTTAACTCTCTATTTATTTTTTTAAAAAGGGGACAAAATGAGGTAAAAATTGTACATTCTACGAAACAATTGTGTCACATCACTAGTGAATGAATGTGAAATTTGAACGATGATTGCTCATATCAAATTATTTGTCTCTCTTAGACTCATAGATATGTGACCGGGGAAAATAAGTGTCAAAACTTTCCGGCAACAATGAAACATAAAAATGCTAACGATGGAATAGCACTTTATTATAACTTAGGTCGGTAGGGTGAATTCTGGAAATCCAAAAATTGCACCTGAACAATCCGAAGCCTAGGACTTGACTGATTAACAAAGTTGCATGTAACATATAAATAATAAAGTATAAGAATGACAATTAGCACAATTCTGAGCATGAGTGACAGATGGCTTAGATAGAATAACTCATGACATGTTGAGTAAATCGATTAAATTGATACATTTTGAGTTACATGGTAATTAGCATAATTAGTCTTTTATGTTGTTTTAAGTAATTGCAATAGATTAAAAGTATATTTCAAAGATAGTTAAAACATGCCACTAAAATAGTTTTTATCAAAATTTACACCGTGATAGATATACGTCGTTTTTTGAGGTTGTACCGCGTGATCATTTCATAGTTGCTTTCAAAAAAACATTGACACTTTATTTAGAGGTAAACTGTTTGTCTTCTAGTTTATTCTGCATGCAGAAAAGATGATGTTGAATAAATGAGTAAAATTCATTGAAGTACCGTGAGCAATTTTAATTTTATGGCGCTAGTTTACGCTATTTGATATCACATCTTAATATGCAAGGTCTGATTTTTGTGTTTGATTAAAAAAAAAAACAATATCTAAAATATTATTGAAATTTAATTTTAATTCCTAATAAGAGTTAAAGGTGTAATTGTGTATACATATATATAGCAAAGAATACATCTGATCATGAACAGATACTTTGCAAAGAGCTGACTTTTGATTGTTAAAATTGTGATGTAATTACCCAGGACGTCTGTGATATTTTAATGCAATGTAATTGTATATATGAATGAAATATTTTGATTTAAAAAAAATAATTGTTCTAGTTTTGACTGCAGTATATTTAATGCACAGTGTTGTAAAGCGCTTTCTTTGGTTTTTTTTTTAAATTCCGATACTAACAGACATAGAAAATTAACATTTTATTGTTTATATTTATGTCTGTATGATTATTAATATAAAGTTAAATATTGTATTATTCATATGTACGTCAATGTATGCTTCATTGATGGAAGAGCGTACTGCTCAAGAAATCTTCACAAGTGACTTGAATTAAACAATAAAATACTTTCTTTGGTTGTTAGTAGGGGAATTTAGTTTGGGTTTAAATGTTGCAGTTTTTGCAGAAAAAATACATAACCCGCGGGTTTTGAATTTTTTTTTCTGCAATAGCTGCACCACTTAATATTCCAATATTAACAAAGAAAGACATTGTTTATATATGATTGCAAGGACAGACGGACAGTCTGACAGACGGATAGCAAGACAGATGGACAAGGCGATTCCTATTTATCCCCCCCCCCCAACATTCCTTTGTTTCAAATGAAGGTGTTAGGGGAGGTATATAAATATCATACACCATTCAAGGTCAGATTACTTACTTTCTTCCTAGTGGACAGATGGTGAATTTTTAACATTTTCAAGATTAGACTATTTATTTTCAAAATCTGTCTGTCCCCAGCTTTCGCGAAAGCGAGGGGACATTATATCTATTTCGTCTGTCAGTCTGTCTCTCTGTCAGTCTGTCACAAAAACATTAACCTTGGTCATAACTTTTGAATGAGAAGAGATAGGTCTTTCATATTTCACACGTATATTACCTGTGACAAGACCTTTCCAACTATACTATGATTTTTTACCCTGTGACTTTGACCTAGAAGTTTGACCTACTTTTAAAAATTTTAACATAACTTTAAATTGGTAATTTTGTCCCCACTTTCGCGAAAGCGAGGGGACATTACATCTATTTCATTTGTCAGTCTGTCCGTCTGTCAGTCTGACACAAAAACTTTAACCTTTGTCATAACTTTCGTATTTCACACGTACATTAACTATGACAAAACCCTTCCAAATATACTATGATAGTTTACCCTGTGACCGTGACCTTGAAGATTGACCTACTTTTCAAAAATACTAACATTACTTTAAATTGGGCATAACTTGCATTGTGAATGAGAAAAGATAGGGCTTTCATATTATACATGTGTGTTACCTATGACAAGACCTTTCTAAATCTACGATGACTTTTGGCCCAATACCTTGACCTTGAAGTTTGTCCTACTTACAAAAATTTTATCTTTGCTTATAACTTTTGATTGAGAAGAGAAAGGTCTTTTGTATTTGACATGTACATTACCTGTAAAAAGACCTTTCCAAATGTACTATGAATTTTTACCCCTTGACCTTGAAGTTTGACGTACTTTTCAAAATTTTTAACATTTCTTTAAATTGGCCATAAAATTTGAACGAGAAAAGATAGGGCTTTCATATAACACATGTACTTGTACATTACCTGTGACAAGACCTTTCCAAATATACTATTGGTTTTTGACCCCGCGACCTAGATCTTGAAGTTTGACCTACCTTTCAAAAATTTTATCTTTGTTTATAACTTTTGATTGAGAAAAGATAGAGCATTCATAGTTGACATGGGTATATGCATTACCTGCAACAAGCATTTTCCAAATGTTCTATGATTTTTTACCCTATGACCTTGACCTTAAAGTTTGACATAATTTTCAAACCTTTCAACATTGCTGATAACTTTTGATTGAGAGTATGTATGGCATTCACATTTGTCGTGTGTATTACCTGTTTCAAGACTTTTGCGATTGTATACTCTGGTTTTTGACCTTGTGACCCTGACCCTGACCTTAAAGTCTAACCTAGAGTTTTTTTTTCAAATTTTACATTTGTAATAACTTTTGAAAGAGAGAAGATAGGGCTTTCATATTTCTACATGTACGTTACCTATGACAACACCTTTAAGAAAAGTATATTCTTTTTGACTTCATAGCCTTGATCTAGAAGTTTGGCCTACTTATAAAAATGTTTAACCTTGACCATAACCTTTATGCTACATAAGAGACATGGCTTCCATATTTTTTTCACATGTGAATTACTTGTGACAAGACCTTTCGGATTGTATTATGATATTTGACTTCATGACCTTGGTCTTGAGTTTGATGTCGTTTTGGGAAGCTATAATCTTTACCATAACTGCTTTTAATTCAATAATTTATGTCTTTTTTTTTTTGTATGAAGACAAGACACACAAACAAGACAGTTCCATTATGCCATAAATAATGGCATCCCATCCATTTTGGGGACCACAATTCTTTGAATTTGCTTGTTAGTACATAAAAAGCAATATATATTAAGATATACCAAACTGTGTCCAGTTCTGAGAGTGTATGCTATAGTAAATCGGTATATCTTCAGATCAAAAGCTAGGTCGTTGCTATTACTCCCACATTTTGTTTTATACCACCTTTAGATAAGACTCGTCAAGTAGGCGTCAATATTTTGCCACCTGTCTGAGAACATGTCGAATTTGTTGTCACCAAATACATGATCACAACATCAGAGAAAGTTAATTTACAGACATTGCTACGAATAGGACAGGCAACTTCAGAGAATCTAAAATACATTCAGAGTATGTGACTCTATGGGGATGATACAGTGTCGCGCAGTCTCACATTTGTGATATTTAGGTGATTTAAGGGGGTCGTGATTTTAATTCTGGCCTAGATCAGAAAGACCTACTGATTTAGAAAGTAGAAATAATTGTTTTCTTTTTATAGAGTATTTGGAACAATCATATCATTTGTTGTTACAATATGGTTGGTGATCCTATGTTTCAATGATATATCAGAAATGAATAATCATTGAAACTCTTTTGGCTTATAACAATATTTTGAAAAATAATTAGCGAATGTGTAATTATTTATTTATGAGAAAATATTTTGACAAATAATTAGTGAATGTATGATTATATTTATTAATGAGAAAATAGAAAGCTCATAAATCATACATTTGACGGTGATAATTAATTCTATTTGATTATTTTTTAAACATCTGCTTCCTTCATACATATTTTCACGATTTAACATGCAAAAACGTTATATACAATTGTATAATTATCTTGGTATCTCCATAAAAACACATTTATTATTCATGTATCAAAGTTTTGGCGGGAGAAGTATGGCAGGTGCTCTTTCTAGAACGAACTTGTAAATTTCATTAAGGAAATGGTTCAAAAGATCGTACAGAGTTTTCAAGTTCATATGCCTTAGGCAATCGTAAATCACGCCACAATGTTTGCCAGAGGGGTTATTAAACTGTAATATAAAGCAAAGCTTTGAATACACTTGACCAAATGTTAGATATTATAAATAAAAATGTTGTTGATATAAGAAATTATATTTATTTCGGTATGGTTGAATTCAGTGTTTAAAAAACCATGGATTCGGCAAATGCAAGTTGTGATATAACCTTGATCAGCTGAGTGCAAACAGCACATTTTTAAAGTCTAAGTGTGTATTGACAGTACCATGATTGCATATAGGATAACAGACGAAATAAACAAAACAAAAATATTTAAACATAATAAGGAAGTTTTTTTTACAAAAACATTTAATGCACTCAATGACTGATGCAGGTCACAAGTCCCTAATGTTTCAGATGACTTCAAAAGTTTAAAATCAACCACGAATCAAGTCTTGGAAATATATTTTTCAATTTTGTAGTGTGGGTAGAAAATTTTCCTTTTTAAAGAATCAAATATCAAAGTCAGAATCTGACGAATTCTATACTTGCACCTATTTTGCCTACAATTTTATGATCATGCAAGGATTTCAGGGTTATTAAATTTGTGGAATAATGTATAACCAATTATTGATCTCTCCCTCTCCCTTATACCTTGTAATTTGATAATATATGAAGGAAAGGCGATTTGGTTTGAACATATTTTATTGTCTATAAACTTTAGAATTGGGATCGGGTAAAAAGTTCTAAAAACTTAATACGGAAAGCGGTCTGTCGATGAGAAATATCTATCTAACCCCCGCCGCGGTATGGAGGAAAAATTCCTAGGTCCGCCCATGACGACGATGTGTGAAACGTTTTGTTGATAATTCTATTTCATATGTTGATAATTATTTTCTTTGTTGACAAGGTTCATAAACCTTCTGCTCACTCATATCATATGTTTCTTTAATTCTTATGATTTTCCAAAAGAAATGAATTTGTTAAGTAAAATACAAACAATTATAGCAAAGCTTGCGGGGCAAAATTGAACAAGAAAGATACTTTGTAAAGGAATAACAGACATTTATGTCATTAAGAGTTATCTCTCATCAGAGTATCGATGAACCTTAACAAGAAGGGGATTGGTAAGGTCTGGAATAATTAAATATTTTCAAACTTCAATACGTAACAGCTACAAAAGGAATGTGTGTGTGTTGTATGTTAACACAAGCTCTTACTGTGGATCCGATGTAAATGGATATACAATTAATGCAGACCGATCTTCCCATCTTGATGCACATGTAGTGCTTTAAAAAAAGTTTCAACAGGTTTTGCATGTGTCAAAACTATGCGATGTGTACCACACTGCCGTTAAACAACTTTTTGGTGCCTCCATGTCTACGGGCGAGGGGCCCCTAAAGGGAGAGACACATTAAGAAAATGTACTTGAATTACTCGTAAACGCATTACTTAAATATATCTTCCGTGTGCTTCACTGCGTTAGATTTAAAAGATGAGATAGAAAGAATGACATACGCCCATTTTATCAATCATTACGCAGCGGAATATGAAATAAGATCCTTAAATATCTGAACTCTCTCAATCAGTTTCTGATGTTCAATTGATCATTTATTGAACTGAAATCGATCACTCATTGTAATATTATGTCTCCACACCCATTCCTGACCGAAAATAAACCTGACACAGCAACTGACTATTAAGGAACATTTAAACAATATTCTGAGAGCCTGCTTGCGGTTAACCGCTTAAAAAGAGGTTTCCTTCGGTTACCCCTGTTCCTTGGGGGTCAGCTGTTAGGACATAAATCATCAAAACAGTTTTCGTTATCTGTGAAAGATTCTCTATATTTACACCAGAAATATCACCACAGAATTTTTTTAATTTCTAAAGCAGTTAATTCATTTTTTTTAAATGGGATTGTATAATTAGTAAGTTTGTTTTCTTGATCGTAATCACGAGCTTCAAATCACCTGTACTTAGTTTGTACACGTGTAGTACAGTCGTGCACGGTCAGGTAAACATTAATCGATCCTCCCAATGATCATGGTTTTGTTTATCGCACAGTAACTTTTAGATACTTTAAGGTTTGATCAGTTTAATTAAAGTCCCACACTGCATTCTCACTGCTTGCAAAGATTATCTGAGAAAATTCTCTGATACAGCATAAAGTATTCACATATCTGTCATCACGTGATTCATCAATTTACGAGCTAGTTATGTAATCAGGACTCGTGGTTAATGGAGAAATTCTTTCTACATTGGCCGCTTAGAAGCGGATGTTCAATTATGAACAGTAAAGATGTAAACAATTAAGAATGTGTTTGAGAGAGAGAAAGAAAGAGGGAGAGATTGTATATTCAGTTTTCTAAATTGAAATTCTCCTGCATTCACAATTCAAAAAACATCAGTCAAATCCTTCCATGCGAAACACAATTAGTGCCACCAGAATAAATTGACTTTCGCGAGACCGCCTGTGTATGCTTGTATAATGGTGAAAACTTAATGGCTTTTTTCGTTCATTGACGTTGTAAATGTCTACAATAGAAGACATTTATGGTTAAATGGGCTGTTTTACCTCATTTACAGAATGTTTGCTTCAAAGGGTTAAAGGTTCGGCGGGCCAACAGGAAGCTTTAAATCTGTGTTAGTTATCTAATTAACCAAATTAAAATATTCACGATTTTATATATATATATATATATATATATATATATATATATATATATATATATATATATATATATAAATGAGTTTAGGGTTTGACTGGATTTGGGTTTTTTTTTTCTTTATATGTATACATCCATGACATTGTGCATATCCTTCTCGCAAACTCCCCTAATCTTGTAACTTTTGTAACTAATGGATTTAGTAAGTGTTACATTGTCTTATAAAACGGGAAGCGAATAGGTCTATGTTTAAAATGTTTATGATTAACATCCGGTTACAAACGTACAGTTAAAGTGAACACAGATATGAAGTACTGTACTTGAAAAGAGCAATTCACATACATGAAACTCATCCCTGTTTTCAAATTCCACGTACATGTACTTAAACTTGTTGAAGCTCTATAAAAATAGAATCCTCTAATGCACACGTGTAAGCACGCCATCTTGAACAGCCTTATCACTTGCCTTAATTTTTTTCTTTCTGTAATTCCTTATCTTTAGTTCAACTTGGAGTCAGAATGCTCTTAACATAAGAAATAAATCTGAAGAGTTCTTTAAATTTGAGACATTTTTTTATTATTTTTTGTTTATCTCCAACTGTTTCAACATTGACAACAGAAAAAAATGCTATATAAAACGTTAATGAACATGATGCTTGGATCGCTGATCTATAACAAATGAGAACACCCTTGGGTAAATGTATGTCCAGTGGATAAAATATATCTCATGTTTCTCAAGTCCAAATGCAAGCCAAACAATAGTCCCTAGTTGGACAACTATTTTCTTTCAATCGGATCAAAACAGGATCATTATCAGTATATTCTGAGGCCTTTTTTCAGTACTTCATAAAAAGAAATTGATCTATAAAACTTTTGAAACACTAAATCAACAATAATTTCCTCTTTACGACTCTGCAGAAATATCAGTTTACGTTTATATAGTAGTTGTCATGTCTAGCTTCTGGGACTATTGTTCCTAAGGATGTATTGGATTTACAGAAAAACATTTAACATCAGTTGTAACAATAGTGATCATACAACATCACAGTCAGAAAAAAAAAACAATATAAAATATTGAATGTACATTTAAGACTTTAGCACTATGTTTCCAAGGTCAATTAAAATAATCTGTACAGCATATAACAAACAATTTAAAACTTCATAAAATCAGAAAGTCAAAAATATTTTGAAACCCTTCTGTTGCTATGGCAACCGTCATTTTTTAGAGTGACTACATCACTTTACAAAAAAGCTAACAATGGAACAACAACAGAGATGGGAAAACTTTCGTATCAAGAATTGTCTTAGCTTGGAACATTTCTTTCCTTTTGTCAAAAAAGAATGTCAATTTTATTTCTCATTACAAGCTTTCCAAATAATTTCTGTGCAATGACCACTTCGTTTTACAACTAATGGGGACATATTCAACACAATAGACTGAAGAATGAAGTCAAGATATGAATTAAATGAATTATTTAGCTGCCTTGTGACACATTTTCATACTTGGCATCCTTTAGAACGTGTTGTAAACATGTTTTAATAGCTAGTACAGAAATTGAAAAAAAAAATTCTAACATTTTGAAAAAGTAGTGTTTTTTCTCGTTGAACTTCCTGGCTAATTTGTTTTTCTTACTAAATATACTGGTTTGCCCCTTTTGGGACCCCCACTAAATGCTTGGTCGCTAATTTGAGAGGCCAAAGATAAAAAAAGTAGCTGGTATTTTGGCGAGTCGCCCGCTCTTCATATTCTCAAGAATTGTGACGTCAGAGTCTAAGCTATCCTGTGCGTTTGCAACCGTTCATGAACTGAGTTTTTATTTTGAGATCATCGTGTTGGCACTTAAAGTCTTCCAATTCATTAAACCGTCGTTCTGGTATTTGGTATCCACATGTGCTAGCGTTTAAGCCTCGAATCTTTTTCTCACGGTGTTCTGCGGGCATTTTCTTCGTTTTTTGTAGCGGGAGACAAAAAACAGTTCCCGTCATACTGTAAACATTGTTTATTTCACTCTTCTTTTCACGTCTGCCGCACACTGGTGTCTGTTTCAATAGTGTTTGATCTTTGGCAAAAGAAACTCGTGTGGCCTTGTGTGTTATCTCCTGAGAGAGTTTTTTCAAAGTCTAAGAGCTGCCCCATGAAGTTGAAATTTGGGGAAATGTTGGGTTTACATCCTTTGACGTGGTCATAGGCTTGGTTTAGACTCATGTGTTCCTTCTGCATGAGGTAGGCTACGGTTACGGTGACGGACCGACTAATGCCGGCAAGGCAGTGTACCAAGACTCCACAACCGTTTTCGCGGGCTTCGTCTACAAGAAAAAGAGAAATACGCATATTACTTTAATCTGCTTATAACAATACACATGTACTCAACATCGCAGCAAAAAATATTTTCTATCTGAAGATAAAAACTTTTTTGATAGAACGTGTAGAATATGACACGCGATGATTGTGATTAATTGAGATTCTCAATGCAACTTGTACGACGTATTTCACTGCTCGATAGTTGAACTGACAGACTTGGCTATCAGAGCGTGGTTCCGCTGACAGCGACTGTTTACCTCACGGAGTGAATATGATTACTCTGCCCCTTTAAAAGCTTCGCAGAAGAGGAAGATTTTTTTTATTCATCAAAACACACCGCAAATTGTGCATTTCATGATGTAATTACATCGATTTTTGGTGTATCTTACACAATGCGTTTGTCATTAATCTACCGACAATAGTGTATTTCAAGTCGCTGCCCCAATAAAAGATAAAGGCCTTATCGCAAGTGACCTAAATAGAAAATAGCTTATAGAGGCAACAAAAGGGGGACATGTAAAAATACCTACCGATGAAAGCTATTGCTTCTGGGAAAAAGGCAGACAAATTCTGGGAGAGCTGGTCCGAGACTGGGATTTGCATGTATTTAAAGTCATTGTCCTCTGCAAATTTATTTGGCACATTGGGAGTAACGTTCAAAATGTATTTAATTCCAAACTTCTTCAGCAAGTTAATATCCGCGGAATTTTTAGCGTTTCCAAGATAAAGATGGTTAAGTACTTCCACTGGATATGGGGACATACATCCTGGAGAATTCAGATTTTCACTGTCCGATTCAGAGGTTCCGTTTCCGGAATCGTCCGAAATTTTTAAATTGCACAATCCGAAAATTGATTCATCTGTATTTTCAGTTCTCCGACACAGATCTTTGGCTATTTTTTCAAACTGTGGAAAACCTCCTGAAAATATAAGTATGAAAATGTAGAATTCCTTTTATCTATCTATGAATGGATACATAAGATGAGTGTAGAAAGTAATCTAAACACTACAAATAATTAATTTCTAATTAAAAGGTGTTTGACATTAAAAAAGTGCAAGAGCTGTTTCAATTCAACCAAGAAATCAAACGTTTAATTTATGCCTAATCAAACATCTTGCAGGTAGGCAAACATAATGCTCTAAAATTGTATTTATTTTACCCCTTAGAGGGGAACTCTCATTATTTACAATTGAATATGTAATCCTTGTGTCAATATTGAAATTTATCCCATTTCCTGTCAATTGTAATGAGGCACAGTAAAGGGGAAAAGATAAGGTATAATATCTTGATAAGTCGGGGGAAAATACATTAAGTTTGGTGGTTTGTAGTCAGTGGGATTGCTTTTGTGGTCAGTAAGGCGGGCATTTTGATGGATGGTCTGAAAGACATTATGATGTGTATTCGCCTTACTGTAAACAAACTGACCGCATTCAATATTATGCTTCACTAATCAGCCCGCGGTTATACTGTACAAGTTCGCAACACAAAAACAGAAAGTTGTTTATACGAAAAACCCGACTTTTCACGGCAAAATTACACCTTTAAAATACACGAAAAAATTAAATGGGAACTTTACTTCCCGAACAGAAGCAACACATTTTATTCTGATGAAGGAAATACATGATTTTATCATTCATTTCATTCATATTAATAAACTTGTCCTTTATGGAGTTTAATTAAAAGATAAAGAGACACATACCCGTCAAACACGAGACATTCGCCCCATCCTGGCGTAACTTCTTCATAAGTAGATCCACCACACTGGATGGGTTGGAGTTAGAATCCGTTGTACACTCATCATAAATCACAATTTTGTGTGTCTTCCATAGTCTGTTAAAAGTTTCCTTAGCTTCGTTATTCTGTATGAGACAGGATATTTTCAGATTTCCCTTCTTGAGTCGCCTCAACATGAGGTTTGGCAGTGTGACGTTGATTGCACCCTTAATATGAGATCTTACATAGTCGTTTTGGGGACGACAGTCCATAAGAAGCACTTTTTCACCAGCCCGGAGACTCTCCCTAAGCCATTCCGGACTGCAAAATTCCCCCGACATTTTCATTACACGCTCAATACACGGCATACCACTGAGAGCTAAAATTGTGTTTATTTTCCGCTGGTTCACCCTACACAGCGGCGCTTTAGATGAAATCACGTGAGTGCGGTAAGAGAACAGGATAGGTCGATATAAGCAAGCTATAACGACATATTCACGGGAATATTTTAGTCTATAAACAAAACAAGGAAAAAGGGGGTAGGTTTAAGAGTTTGTAGTTTACTTCACACGGTCTATCTTATGTGTAGCCAAATGTTCAGCTAAAATGAATGAAGCATTAGCGCCGTATATATACTATCAACTCTCAATGAGTTCGTAACGATACAAAAATATCAACCAATGGAAAACCACTGTTTTCTGATATAACTCCGCCCCCTTCTCTCAGTGAACGTTCCTAATTCAACACAGTAAATCTTCTGTGACCTTACAGCTCAAGGTTGTCGTGTGTGTGATCTAAAAATAAACCACACATATTGCCAAATAAAGTTGAAATTCAAATCTTTTAATGTGAAATAATTTTTAATTTCTCACGTTCACAAAGCGATTTTATCCATCATATACAAAATTGATCATGAAAGTACAATATTCAATTCCAAATTGCACAACTCATGTGAAACTAGTGTAGCAATTCTATATATTTTTTACACACACGTTGTCTGTGAGTGCCCAAAGGGGGAAATTTAATTTTGTACCGAAAGTTAGATTTATAGAGTATTTATTACATAGATCACTTGCTTTACAACAGAAAGAATTAATTTTTGTTAATCAAAACTTTTGACGATCAGGGTTTTGAGATAAATCATACTGGCGAGTATCATAATTCATCATTATCATATCGATTTTCCCTACTTATTTTATTTCCTCCCTGGCTTTTTATCCTCGACGGTTGCACACGATGTAAACAACTTTTTTTTATCAAACTGAATTAAACGCCAAGTGTCACGCCATATCAGATTACGGAGAGTTGCTTTTGAAATTCGTTGTGTAACTGGAATATTATGAGTGAACATTAGGGATGAGATGCATATGAATTGTTCATGCTCCAGTGAGCTTTTTTTAACGAAAATTGAAGAAACATCTATATGAGACCATGAGGTTTTATTTGGACGAATGCCAGACGTTTTAAAACACAATGAACTTGACATACTTTTCTACTTTTGACACAGCCCTTGTCCTCGATTATAAACATTAAATGTACAGAGCGACATTTATGAGTAGGAAAAAAAATAAACAAGAAAACTTTGCAGTTTTTGTAGCTAGCATGCACCCTGACAAAAGGCGTATATAGAATTGTCAACAAATTTATTGTGTTCGTTATTTTATTCCAGTTTGTACTCTGATAAGTCCAGTTTTTGTTATCGTGCCATTCATGTACTTCAGTGCCAAGACTAATTAAGACTTGCCCACTTTCAAATCAAACTGGCGGAAGAAGGATTTCAAAAGAACTACATTTTTTAGAGAACGCTTTTTAGCTCACCTCGACGAAGTCGAGATGAGCTTATGCTATACCTCCGGCGTCGGCGTCGGTGTCGGCGTCGGCGTTAGCGTCGGCGTCCCAGGTTAAAGTTTTAGGAGCAAGTCCCATTCCCAAGTAACTATAAGCCCTACCTGGACCAAACTTGCATGGATGATGCATCTAGGGATGGACACTACCACACTTGCTTCGGATGCTGGATCTGATCTAGATTTTCCAGATGAGTGACCAGGTTAAAGTTTTAGGAGCAGGTCCATTCCCAAGTAACTATAAGCCCTACCTTGACCAAACTTGCATGGATGATGCATCTAGGGATGGACACTACCACACTTGCTTCGGATGCTGGATCTGACCTAGATTTTCCGGATGAGTGACCAGGCTAAAGTTTTAGGAGCAGGTCCATTCCCAAGTAACTACAAGCCCTACCTGGACCAAACTTGCATGGATGATGCATCTAGGGATGGACACTACCACACTTGCTTCGGATGCTGGATCTGACCTAGATTTTCCAGATGAGTGACCAGGTTAAAGTTTTAGGAGCAGGCCCATTCTCAAGTAACTATAAGCCCTACCTTGACCAAACTTGCATGGATGATGCATCTGCTGGATCTGACCTAGATTTTCCTGATGAGTGACCAGGTTAAAGTTTTAGGAGCAGGTCCATTCCCAAGTAACTATAAGCCCTACCTGGACCAAACTTGCATGGATGATGCATCTAGGGATGGACATTACCACACTTGATGCGGATGCTGGATCTGATCTAGATTTTCCAGATGAGTGACCAGGTTAAAGTTTTAGGAGCAGGTCCATTCCCAAGTAACTATAAGCCCTACCTGGACTAAACTTGCATGGATGATGCATCTAGGGATGGACATGGCCACACTTACTTCGGATGCTGGATCTGACCTAGATTTTCCGGATGAGTGACCAGGTTAAAGTTTAAGGGGCAGGTCCATTCCCAAGTAACTATAAGCCCTACCTGGACCAAACTTGCATGGATGATGCATCTAGGGATGGACACTACCACACTTGCTTCGGATGCTGGATCTGATCTAGATTTTCCAGATGAGTGACCAGGTTAAAGTTTTAGGAGCAGGTCCATTCCCAAGTAACTATAAGCCCTACCCGGACCAAACTTGCATGGATGATGCATCCAGGGATGGACACTACCACACTTGCTTCGGATGCTGGATCTGACCTAGATTTTTCACATGTGAGACCAGGTTTAGATTTAGGAGTAGTCTCGTTTCTAAGTAACTATAAGCCCTACCTGGACCAAACTTTCATGGATGATGCATCTAGGGATGTACACTAACCAACCTGCTTCGAATGCTGGATCTGACCTAGATTTTCCACATGAGTGAATTTTAGCCATATTTTAACCAAATTAGCATGGATGATGTATCTAGGGATGGACACTTCCAGATTTGCCTTGGATTCTGAATCTGATGTACATTTTCCAGATGAGTGACCAGGGTAATTTTTTGGAGTAGCTATATAATATTATGGCCTGTTATGATTAAACTTGCATAGATGGTGCATCTAAGAATGAAAACTTCCAGACTTGCTTTGGATGTTGGAAGTGACCAAAATTTTCTTGATTACTAAACAGGTCAAAAGTTTTTTGAGCAGGTCTATAATTAAATCAAACTTGCATGGACATTGACCTGGGGATGTACCCTAACTAGAAAAAAATATGATGTGAAATTTGCCTTACATGTAGATAACATTCGTCGAGGTGAGCTTCGTAATCTTTGATTACCTATGTTCTATACCCGTTGAAGGTTGTTCTTGGGGTAATTAATCTTCTTTGTACCCGGAGAGCATTGTCATTTTTATGTATCATAAGGGAGCGTATGCTGTGTAAGATAAAATTTATGTCATGATCGAAATAGAACGTACGACCAGGAATATACATCTTATGTGAAATATGATAGAAAATAATGATCACATGGCAATTGATTTATTTTCAAATACTACAAGGACAAATTTAAGTATCGTGCAAAACATCTATCAGAATAACGACAATCTCACTTCAATTTTACCTGGTAATTCAAAACCTTCATGCTTGTATCACGTGACTTTTTAAGTAAATATGTTAAAAGTGTATGTGTGTTGCTGTATAAATCGTGGTTATCTCCTACGTTTATCAAACCCGACATAAGTGCTTCAGATAAAGAGAAAACTTCGTCAGGTCTGATATACCCAAGGACAGAGAAGGATTCGTGGCATAAACCTGGGATCTCCTGAGAGGGTTGAACATGAAAGGGGGTCCACTGATAGAAATTAATGGAATGTTGTCATAGAAGTTCAATATGTAGTTTAAAGGCAAATGATATTTATAAACAAAAAATGGATGCCTGGATTGGTTTATATATATATATATATATATATTGGTATATATTTTTCGACCTAATTTGGTTGCAAATGATGCGAATAGTAAATTTCTAAAATATTTAGAAATTGTAAACTTTCTGTGATGTTCAAAATTGACCCATTCTTCATTCACAGTACTCATCACTTAAAGAATCGATAATTTATCGATAAGAATTCGATAATTTGACCCATTCTTCATTCACAGTAGTCGTCACTTAAAGAATCGATAATTGTCTCAGCTGCCAAAATCCAGCCAGCGAGAAGGAAGTCCTTGCCAAAACACCTAGCAGACTTATCAGATCGGGATTGGTGTAATCACAGTGTGACGATAATCCTTTTCTGATCCAAGCTTTCCAAAACAACAAGTTTTGGGATTCAACTGACACACATTTATTAATCCAGTAGAAAGATTAGACGTTGAATATTGATTTATCGTACTGTAAGATTTACACGAAAAAAGGGAATATATTAAAGAAAGATAAATGTGATTAGATACAAATATCAATGATCCAGAATTACAACTTGTGTCTAACTGAACTGACCTGTACGTGAGCGCAAGCATAACTTATTGCTTGTAACAAGCTGCCCCTCCCTTTCCCCACTAACGACCTGCACAACTGCATGTAACTTCTACAGTTGATCTCCCAAGAAATGGCAACAATGACCTGTATACAACAAATAGAAGTAACAAACGCTGGTCATCGACAACTAGACACAATGATCATTCATATGAAAAATATATTTAGTGGGTAGCCCAATTCTCTGCAAATACGAATCACGAAATTACTATAAGACATTATCATGTGCTGAAAGATGATTAAACGTCATCGCTCATTTTAGCCCCAAAACGGGAGATGGCAAGTGTATCATGTACATGTACACGGCTTAGGTGCGTGAAATATTCTTATAAAAAGAACATAAATACAATAATTATATGTGTGGGTGATAAGTCCAAGATTTTTGTTAAGGACGTGGATGTGGTATTTAGAAGGGATAACAAATATAATGATGGCATTCTGATCTTTTTATCACATCATTATCACGAATTATTATATATTTTGATATATTTCGCAAAAGAAAGCGGGCATTTACAGAGCCACCTCGGGCCGCACTGTAAAACCCGGGGGACTAATTTTGTTTGTGACATCACAAAATATTTCTTTCTCTCCATTTTTAATGACGTCACATACATGTACGAGGTCCATTTAAAAAAGTTCATGATTTCATAAACGTCAGAATTTTTCAGGATTTCCATAGTGTTACAACACTAAGTTTAAAAGAATTCAAATTAAAATGAAATAAACACTAAAGCCCGTCACCAGAGTCTTTCAGTGGCCTTGTTTTGGACAACCCTAAAGGTTGTCCCCATATCA